CTCCGCAGACTAAGCCGGCCCTGGCTTCCACGCTTCAGAACTCTCAGAGCTGGGGTTTCCAGGAGTTGTTCTTAACTTCCAGAGCGATCTAGAGTTAGCTTCCAGTGCAACTTCCTTTGCACTCTTGGCCCAAATAATCTGTGTTTGGAATCTCAAGGGGCTTGCAATTTCTTGCCCTAAGTTTGCCATTCAACACGATAGATTTCATTTTGGAGGTTTCAAACCGACGCGCTGGCGGAAGGGGATGGTAAGATATATGGGATTTGCTTAAGTTACATATAATTGGAAACAGTCCTGTGGCTTGAAATGGAAGGGGAGGTATAAACGATTAAAGTGTGTTGGTAATTGTTTTGCACAGGCTTGAAAACTTTGCCGAAGAATTTCGGGTTTTCTTTCTTTGTCATGTAAATGGGGCTAACCCTCAGCCACCCACTGAGAACTAAATCCAACAGCTTTCCCTTTGAAGATTTTCCTTTTTCTTGGGGTTTTGTGTAGAATTGGCAGCCTAATTTGTATTCTGATAAGACATATATGGTACTCAAGCGGATTTAGTTGAGCTAATTTAAAGATTCGTAAGAAGGATAAAGAAAGCATAAAACTGACTTTGCCTAGTTCTTCTTTAAAGAAAAATCAATAGCAGGGTGTTGAGCAACTACGAATATTATATTTTGTTGTTGTTAACCAATGCTACTTCCTCAGCCCCTAAGTGCTAGGAATACAGGCAGGAGCTACTTCAGCCCTCTGACTCATATTTAATTAGAGAAGTTGTTATATTTTAAAGTCATATTTGTCATTGCTAGTATTACATTAAATAAAAATTTTCCAAGTCATCGCCAGAATTAAATGTTTGACCTTGCAACATCATAGCCTGTGTCAATCCTATGTGTGAATTTTTAGTACAGAAAATACTTCAATTCTCAATAACTATTATGCTCTGATTTAATACCTGTCTGTTCTATTCTTGTTTACAAATATACTCTTACTGCTATGCTGAGTTCTCTCAATTTTACTAGAAAAACAGAAAGTTGAATATATTAAATGAATTTCCAAACCAGTTAAAACTTGTTTAAGAAAGGTGAACTGAATCTATTTAAGAATTAAAAATACAGGAGCTGGAGAAACGAACTGATTAAAAGTACTGGCTGCTCTTCCAAAGGACCCAGGTTCAATTCCTGGCACCCACATGTGGCTCACAAATATCTGTGGCTGTAGTTCCAGGGGATCTGCAACCCTTTCTGGCCTTCCTGGGCACCAGGAACACATGTAGTACACAGACATACATGTAGGCACAAAACCTGTACACGTAAAATAAGGTTTAAAAAATTAGAAAAGAATTAAAAGTACCAAGGATATGAAGGTCAAGAGGACATTCTTATTAAAAAAAAAAAAAAAAGGCTTATAGCTAGCCCTTTCTGAAATAAGATTTGTCCATTAAATTTTTTGTAGGTAAGTATTATTTTGTTCTCTATAGTTATTTTTTGGGGAGGAAAGAGTTGGCTAAATTTCATATTGGTGACTGTCATTCCTTGTTCTTTCTTGTTTCTGATGCTTTATTTGATGGCATAAAAATTGACTACCTGCTATCTGGAATGTATGGCAGTAGGCATATAAGTCTTAAAGATATACTATCTGTTGGAGAATGATAGGTATTGTGATGTCATAGAATATATTACCATAATAAAAAGAACTGTCCATTAGTAGTTTTAGGACTTTTAAAAAGTGAGTACTTTTTCCTTGTTATTCTGTGTATATGTTGAGAAAATTTTTGTATATGTATTTCCAAGCACATAGTAGGTATTCAAGTTTTTTTTCTAAATCATTCATGAAGTGATTAACAGTAAAGATTATAGAAAACATTCAGTGCTTAAATAGGAAAACTTATTGTTGATAGTTTTATTAATGACAATTTTATTTACACATTTGTTTTTATTGCTTAGTCATTATCCATTGGCACTGTAACATTTTGCTTTTGTATTGCAGTATTTAATGGAAATGAATAACTTGTTTTGAGAAAACCATGGCAAAATCAAACACAAAACACAGAGTTTGTTCCCGGGAATCTTCAGTAACTTCTCTCCTGGCAAGCTGCAGCCTAAGTGGTGGTAGTTCCTCCAGCTCTAATAGCTCTTTTCATTATAAGGACAAATTGTACAGTTCTGCTTCTGAGGCTTTACAGGCCTATATTGATGATTTTGATTTAAGCAGAGAACATTCAGGAGCAAACACTGGCAGAGTGAACATTGATGAAGAGTCTGGTAATATGCTACGATTTTCCAGCTATGTGCATAAACCAAACAATGGTATGCTTTAGTCTTTAGTCTTTCTTGTAATCTTTTGTGTCCAGTGTTTAACATATTAGAGAGATGTGCCTTATAAAGTTGGATTTGAATAAAGATAACTTATATTGCTGAAGTCTTGATATGTTCTAAAATGGACTGCATACTTGTCACGATCCCAGGGATTTTTTTAGTTAAGATCTTTTGACCTTGGAGAGGACACCAGTAAATATAATCAAAAGTGGCCGATCCTAAACTCTTAAGCCTTTTTTCTGTGGCACAATGGAAAGAATATTGCTATTGTTGTCTTAACAAGCTAATGCCTAAATAATCCCAATCATTCTGAGTTTATGCTTGCTCAGTTTCAGCTGGTCAGAAAGGAATATTGTTTTTTTCTAATCATTTGTATTCTATGGATCAATAGTCACAATGTATTAAGAGTCTGTCCCTAATAAAGCTTTCATGAAGACCAGTCTAGAAAAATGAGTGTTTGACAAACACTCCACTGAACACGTGCAGAAGAATATGGAGTGGGAAAGATGTGGGTGGTATATTCAAGAAGAGACCTAGGGAAGCATTCTCTGTGTGGCCATGGCATTGCAGGGTGACTAGGATAGAGGAAGCAAATTGTGTTTCCACTTGGTTTAATAGCACACTTCTCCTTATGTGGTATTCAGTTTTCAGTAATCAGCCTTACTGTGATTGTATTAATGTGAAAGGAATGTCCTCATTTGGAAAGTTGAGAAACAGTAAGTTACAGAACACATACCATGTCAGCTGATTGAGATATATATAGAAATTAAACACTGAAGAGGTATGAAAAAGGATGTTTTATGTTTACCACTTTGTATGTTTAATATTTCCATTCAAAACTAATAATAAAGGGAAAGCACCGAAAAGATTCTTAAATTTTTAATTCTCATTTACTGTTGACTATTACATATGATAAAGAAAGTAATCAGAATTATGCTTTGCTTTTCAGCTTTTGAAAATCTTGATCACAAACAGCACTTAAACTCTTTATGCTATAGAAGAGAAACTATTAATGATATGGACTCCATTAGCCTAACAACTGATGATTTGTTAAGACTTCCAGCAGATGGATCTTTTTCCTTCACTTCTGTTATACCTGGTCACCGACCAAGTGAGAAAAACAAGAAATACATTGAAAGACAGGATTCATCATCGGACATTAAAAAGAAACCAAATTTTCATATAGACTCTACTCCCAAGAGCAAGGATAATGTAGTTACTTGTGATGTATATTCAAATGTAAATGGAAAGAAATGTGGTAGGCCCGGAACCCTAAAACCTGTGAATAGAAATAATAAACGTGTTTTGGAATCATCTTTATCCATTCCTAAAGAATCATCTTTCAAGGACAGTTCAAACTATGGTCCTGAAATGAATTATCCAAGATGGCTCACTAGCCAGAAATCCGATCTTAATATCTCAGGGGTAACTAGTATACCAGATTTTAAGTATCCAATTTGGCTTCACAATCAAGACTTGCTACCTGATGCAAATAATCAAAGTGTTTCTAAATTACTTAATGAAGATGAATATTCCCCTGTGCATAGTTACCAGAAACAAAGAACTACTCAGCTTACAAATGAAGTAGATGGTTTTGAATATTCTTTTCAACCTGTAAACTTTACAGATTCCTTCATCGAGAATAAAGGATTAGTTAACCAATGTAAATGTGATTCTGAAAATGGCCAGTGTCATTGTGAGAATCTACTTCTCCCAGGACAATCCCCAAAGCCATTCTGTGGTAATATTTTGTTTTTAGTCTTTTAAAACGAAGGATATGTTAAACTTTAACATACTTTGTCCAAGTATTATGATGTAATAGCATTTTTATAATGTGAATGATGAGCACTTTAAAGCTATAGTAGTACTCTGTTTCCTTATTTAAAGTATCTTACTCTGTCCTAATTTGCTGTCGTATATGTACACATTCCAAATACTTTATTTCCTGTTGACTGTGAGATGTCTTGAGGCTTCTGCTTTTTTCTTAAAGAGTGTTTTTAAAATTAGGTGACAAAATTGAATTGCTTATCCTGAAGGCCAAAAAGAATCTCAGGCAGTCTACTGAAGACTTAGCAA